GTGTGGGAGCTTTTGGATTTCGCGTGTTGCTAGGGAACTCGTTCGTTGAACTCCAATTTCGAGAATTCATCCCAAATATATGATAAATCTCTCCAGATTATTAGAGAACAAAAGAGTCGCGATGAGTTTCTAAATAAGCGAAAAGAGTTTGGCAAATGAATTCGGATTGGGCCGGAAAGAGAGAAATGAAGGCCTAGCGAATAAATTGGACGAAATAAGTAAACGTTTGGTACATAATATCTGCAACTGAACCGACAATTTATCCAGATTAAGAGAATAAGTCAAGCATTCTTAATTGTCAAGCATCATATCAAAGTAAAACCGTAAAGCGGAAGAATGAATTGATCAAACGTAATATATCTTAAACCCCGAAAGGGTGATTAGAGGGAAAAAGATCAAACGTTCATTTTATTAACTTGCACAAAAACGCGAGGACATTTCTAAGCTTCATTCTTTCACGGAAATTTTATGCTTTCTTGAACAGGAATTTGATTTGCATGGCGTTCCGAAATTTCGAAATTGGTGGAGATGTAGCGTTTTGTTAATTTGAATCTTTTGTGTAGTATACGTCAGGTTAATACAACAAAGGGAAGGAAAATAAATGAATCGCGGTTGCTTCCCAGCAAAGTGCACACAAATACAATTGCTCAATGGGAATAAAAGCGCAAATATTTATTGCACTGTGCCGTAGCGTTATCTAATGAATTGTTTGCAACTCTGTACGTATTTCCTTGCGCAATTATGTATATACGAATATATCAGTTAAGAACGGTGCATTTGCCGTAGTGCGCCCCAGTTTTCCCTAACTATAAATTGCTTGAGGGCAAAGCTCAAGGAACGTACGGAAATGCGTTGCGGTTGCTTTCTGTTAGTTTAGTCACACTTAACGTCATTGCTAATAATTGAGAAAACCGAGCACTTGAAGCCCTATGTGACCTTCCCTACAATTTCTGACGTAAAATGAGAAAAATACGGAAAACCGTTTCACCGTTTCTGTAATAAACAGATACGTCCAAACAAACATTTGTAGCTCTTCAAAATAGTCACTTTCAGGTCATCATCAGAAGCTTTGGCCTTGGTATTTCTTCAGCTTGTGGAGGAAATAGTACCTTACTTCCATGTAACATTTTCGGTTTAGATTTTTGATTCTGAAAATCCTTTGAATGCGCTACAAAGTATTTCTAAAAGTTCAGAAAGCTTGAATAATGTACCTTCGAACGGGCGGATCAGAACTAAGAAAGGAATTAATTGGGACGTGTTTATTTTTAGTACGTTAGTAACATGCATGCCGTGACACTGCACGGAAGTGCCAGTCTGGCGGGGGATTAGGCAGAAATCATGCGTTATATGTGTCCGTTTCTGATGAGATCCGTTTCGTATCCTAACATGAGAACCGCTTGTTCTGAGGATGCTTCTTTTTTAAAAGATCGTACTGATCGCCGCGAATGGCTAAACGCAAATGCCCCAAAGTTCTCCAAAACCAATCCCCCTCTTAATTAATGATTAAAGTTTTGAAGGCTAGCAATGGCGGATTACCACTCAAAATGTCCATGTCTACATTTTCATTGGTTAGTGTCTTTCTTACTACCAATATCAAGCGGATGTTGAAGATCCTACTCAACTCAAAACCTGGACCTTAGCAAATTTTACAGAACGAGTTTATCTGATTATCAGTCCATTAATGTAATATTGTATCCCCATTAAAAAAAATTAAATTTGCACCCGATCGTCGCTACCTTAACGCCTTAAATAATTAAAGGACAAAAGTGCACACAAAATGAATACCTAGATGTGACACATTCCATTGACCATAATCAACTATCTGTACATCATCACGACCAACATTTGTCTAGGAAAACACTGAAGAACCTTGACTTACACCTTCAAAAATTCTACTTTACTTTTCTCTGCGGGAAAAATTCACAAATTTAAATCCTAACCTAATGTTCTCGTTGTCATTGCACATAGCTTTTTTATTTGACACTCGGACTAACTTCTTCATAAACTCCACTTCTTTAATCTGACAAAGATTTCCTGTAAACGGCTCTCCTAGAGCACTCAAGTAACTTTCTTCTACAACACTTTACAACTCGCAAGATGGACTGTCTTGCAATAATACGCTCAAATATTGCAACAACCGCTAATCACCAAGACAATAAGCGGTTACCAAAAAGCATTCCCTTTTTATTCAACTTTTCTCCGGTCCTTCCTTAAGAAATTAATGCGAATACCGAACACGCGTTTTCTTATCGGTGAAACCTGCTTATCTTAAGACTTTTAGCCTACACAGCGATAACAAATTTCTTATCGGAACAACCAGATTTAAATCAAATAACTTTAACAAAACAATTCCTCCAGTTCTATCTGAACAATAAAATGAACAAATTAAAAGACGAGTATTTAAACAAAATAGATAAATAATTCTAAATAAAATCAACAATAACTTCAAATTCAAATTGTATGATCAAGATTCTAAATTAGCGACCAGAAATAATTGAAATTCAACATACAGGGTGACCCATTATACCGCATGGTTTAGGTTGGCTCTGCGATCCCGCCGCATAAACGGCCAACTAGCTCAGGATTAGAAGCTTAAGATCTTTCGCAGCGGTAGTTCTTTATGGGCATTCAATCTTCTTCACTTCGTCACAAATTACCAAGAAGGTTGAGCGCCACTAAATCTTAATCTTAACTCTCCCCATATGAAATTGAAAAGATACGAAGGTAGTATTAACGATGAAGTCAACTTACCAAATGATATACTGCTTTATTCTAAATATCAAAGTGTCTCCTAAATGGAATCACATTAATTACCCAAAATATTCTCGTATATGAATTTCCCCAAACGTGTACATTAATCTCCCAATTAACTTCGGCGAAAAGACTGAATCCCTAGTCAATAATGATCAATTGAACTAATTTCGGAATCTTAAAACAATTTTCCACAAATTACGTGATATTCCGAGCATATAAGGCAACTTTTACCTTGAATGCTTTATAGTTAGTTTATGACGCCAACAAGGGAGCTCAGTTCTCGCATCCAATCCTGACAACAATCAAAGAAGATACACACACAATAAATAAACGAAATGCAAAATGGCGGTACTTACGCATATTATGAAAACCTCCACTGGGAGCACAGGCTTCGGAATTCACAAATTATGAATTCAATCCCTAGAGATCGAGATGGCAATTAGAATTCCATGCTTTCTACCTTATGCTTTCAGCTTTTTTTTAAATCGACGTGTTCGATGCGGCTTACGAAGAAAAGGAAATGGAAATGGACACCAAAAATCAAGGCAAAAAACATGCGCTGTCATTTCTACGCGGGAAATTTCGTGGTTAAATAAGTGGAGCCATCTATCAAACCGCTTTAAATGTTACGGGGGTTCTTCAAAAGTAGTAATCCGTAAACAACAATTTTACGTATCTTTAAAAAATCCTATACGTATTTTTCAAGGGTATTTAACAAAGGTGTGGCCTTTGACCGTTCTATAAAACTCCTTGATTTTAAAATAAAGAACTGCTCGTTAAATTGTGAAGCAACATCGTGGCCGGTGCATTCTAAGAAAGAGACAGAAAGTTTCGTCTCCGTCTATCACATTTCGGCTAGTGAAGTCTTTACGAAAAATACGATCGCAGCACAAACCAAGATAGTGCTGTGATACAGGCATAATTTTAGTTCACGTAATTATTTGACGCTTATCAGAGAGACTGATTACACTATGGATGGTTCGTCTTTTATTTAATAGAAATTTGGGCTTTTGTTAGATAAAACGCTTTTATTTAAATTTATAAGACATTGTAAAGTGATAAAGGTGCAGGTGCAGGTCTTAGCCTTTAACCACCTTCAATGGGTTTCAAGAATCCTCAACAGACTTCAAGCATTTTGAAGATGAGATTGAGATTGTATAGTCCTTAAGAGCTTAAGGGTCTCTACATCTTTCTAGGGCTTAGACGGTCTAATAAACTTTAGGAGTATTTAATATGCGAATCGTGAAGAGGTTTTAAGACCCTTAATGCTGTTTAAGGGCATTTAAGTTTCTTAAAAGAATAGCTTATAAGAGTCGTCAATTGTTTCCCAAAAGTGTCCAATACTCGTCAGGATACTCCAAAGGTCTAGAAGCTTGGAAAGCATTTAAATGTTTTTAAATTTTTAAGAGCCTTTGAAAGTCTTTATGTGCTATTAATAACCTTTAATGTGTTTTAACAGAGTTTAAGAGGGTCTTAAAAATCTTTAGAGCTCTCGTGAGCCTTTAAACGTCCTTAAAAATAGCAAAGTTCTCCAGGAGTCTTCGAGAAGGTTCCCTCGTCTCTTTAATATCCGGGTCTTTAAGACCCTTTGTGAATCCTTGAGAGCTTGAAGAAATACTGTGTTTTCAAAAACCCTACACCTGAATTAAGTATTTAAAAGCTTTTTAAGAATGAGTGGGATTTCAAAGGTTATCAAGAGGCTTTTAGAACGTTTAATAGAAATTCAGTCTTTAAGACAATTTAAGAGCCCAGTTTCACAAACGATGTTTAAGGTTAATCCCTGATTAAATTAAAAATATTAGAATAATAAAAGAGTAAATCGATTTAAAACTCTTACCCAAAGTAAAGGACGTAGCAAAGTGAAAAGGCGAAAATTGAGACGTCAACGTTTATTTTTTTATAATTGGAAACTTTTAATTACGTTCGCATCTCAAGTTTAATTAATTTCATTACCGGTAGGTACGAACGAAAACACCGTAAGAAAAATGTTGATACAACCTACCTACCAAATAACTTTTAAAAGCTAATTTTCCTTTGATAGTGCCCCACACATTCATCTTCTCCGTAATTGTTGTTTAGCAATTCGTTGTTAAAATTACAGGTAAATTGAAAAGGTATTCGGGATGATTAAATCGGAGCAAACTTTCATGAAATATTTCAAATTTTAAGACAAGTTTCGGTTAAATGTACTCTAATATTTATTATTATTCCGAACTCGCTACAAGTTTGGTATTTTATTTCAGGCAACTTCTGGCCCCCAACATCATGCAGAAACATTTCTTAGCAAATGGAGCGGAGCAAGTTTCAAAACAGGTGAGTAATTTTTATTTATTATAAAGCTCTGTGCAGAAATATCTGCATTCGCATCACCGCAAAAATAACCAATAGTATTTCGATTCAAAATTAAATTTCTGCAGTGCAGTGACCATTGCGAATCATTTATTAAAAGAGAAAATCAAGTGCACGGCTCGTTTAAACGTAACGAAGAGTAAACTTTCAGATAGTTTCTGAACTAATGGAGTAAAGTAGGTCGGAGTTTAACAGGAATGGATGTTTTTACCATTATATATACAATCATCCAACTTGCCAACTATCCGTGTAACACTTTGCAGTTTACTGCTTCAGTAAAAAATCTAAATTATTTCTAAACGTAACACTTACCACACTCTATTCTTTGTAAACTTATGTAGGGAATAATACGTGCAATTTAGCAATCTCTAGTTACTCAAAGTCAGTCATAATAAAATATTCAAGTGCAATTTATAACCTAAACTTACCTAAGATGAAAATAAACAATTTCATGCCACCCATTAAACTATATCTACCTTTTTTGTCTGAATTATCTGTTGCTAGGCTTATCTGTTAGTTATGAATTGAAACTTTTTATTTTACTAGTCCTGAGATTCAGTTAGAATATGTCAAGCATCAGTTGATTGTGAAGAGCCAACGTCAGGTAAAAACAATAGCAAGTGGACCATCAGAGTCGAGTGCGTTTGTAGTTGGTGGACACTTATCATCAGGTTTTTCCAGTTCATTCAAGATAAAGTGTTATAGATGTGAGAAGCCTGGTCATTTTAAACGTGATTGTAGGCGCAGAATCAGAAGCCACAAAATAAGCCAACTGATAAGGAAGCCAGTAATGAACTTCTGAACTTCAATTATGCTATTGCTATGGTCACTGAGCAGAGTAATGATCAAATTCACTGGTCGATAGACAGTGGAGCAACTGATCACATATAAATACCGTAAACTGTTTGTGAAAGCTAAACTGTGACAGTTAAGAGATAGAAAAGTTCTACATGCTGGAAAAAGTTGGATCCCTAAAAGTGATCATGAAATATACTGGAGAGAAGAAAACATTACATGGTTTTCCGTGGTTTCCAAAAAATATGTGCAGTTTAGGAAACATCTACAGGAAACTATATGTGTCTCTCTGATAATTGTCTTATTATAACGTAAATTTAATTACGTGCTTTATTTATGTACAATTAATTAACAATACATTTATAACACTGTTGAAATTAATTGATTTAGTTAAAATATAATCACTAAGGAATACACAGTTTACAACAGCGCGGATGATTTATTTCTTCGGCGTCGAAATTGGAACTATCCTGAAACGCAATTCGATTTGCTTATATAGTAAACTCGAGTAGTTGCGAGTCTCCTCGAATGTTCCAGAACAAAACACGTCATATTTCCCTGAAAGATTGCGTCACATCCACCTTCGGTTTTTATTGTCGATGGCTAATCTTTCAAGACGCCTCGATGTCTGTCGAGATTTTTGGAATATTCGCTTCATTATGTTTACTTTCCCACACGGACATATTTACATCCACAGTCCAAGTGCAATATGGCGCTATTTCAATACATAATTACAAGCAACAAATTGTTTGTATTCAATAAACAATAAAAATCCCAAGGTTGTGGGGAAACTATATGCCTAACCCCCCTAACCAAACAAAACCCAACGAAATTGAACGTCGACAGCACTTTTAGTTTATTCACGCCTAGCTCAGTAATAATATTACGATATATTATTATACCAAGGAACTAAAGTGTGTGTTTTAATCCCGAAACGTAGTTGAGGGCAACAAGCACCCGAGGGATTAGGACGCACTTTAGTCATGTGGTATATACGCTCTTTTTTGTACTTCCGTGATCAGCTACAGCAATTTTCAATGTTAAAGTGCAAATGTAAAAGTGTAAAAGGAACAATTTGTTTGCTTGTAGGATTATGTATAATAAATGTCAATTTAATTTAAAGATTCTAGTTTAAAACTACGGCGTAGAAATGATCGTTTAAAATACTGAAGAACAAGCTATAAATAAACCTACTTCCCCCAAATTCAAGAAGATATATGGAAAAGGGTATAATAAGTGTAAAATATGATGCAAGAATAAAAATGTACATATAAAGGTAGCTATTAATCATTAAATTGTGTTTGACAATTCAGTATGTACTGTCACTTATTGTCGTTTTTCTCCCTCTGGGAAAAAAGTGACAGTTTAAACTCTTGGATGAATGACAAAACACGTTGATTTAGTCCACGGAGTACTTTAAACCCCTTACCTTGCAGAAGTTTGGCCCTTTATCTTCTCTTAAAACCTGAAATTCAAAATTGAATATGCTCTGGTTTCATTCAAGTTGAATAAATAGGTACGCATGTGGACTGAGTTGATTGAATGTATTATTAAAAACAATGGCGACCCAATTACATTTTTCTTTACACATTCCTGGATTAGTTTCATTCTTAAAAAGAAATACAAAAAAACCAATGCCTATCTCGAGAACACGTGTGCTAAATTCGATCCTTATCTAAAATTCATCTTCACCATTTTCCTAGCCAAAAAATACAAAAATCTCTGAATGCTAAATAAAATTTTAATCCAACCAAAGGACTAGTATTACTGAAATTAATCCCAATCAATGAAGCAAAATAATCCAAATCCTTTGCTTGTATTCAATCCTTATTTTAAAATGTAATACAAATCTGTTCATGCAAATAGCTCTCATAGGTGGATTCATTTAGGAATATTATAATTGCTTCAAACAAAATTATTATGCAAATCCCTAAAAATAATAGACCACCACTTTATACAAATCAAATAATTTAAAATAATTTACAGTTATTGACGTGGGTACTATTTTCTTCTGGTAACAAATGGATTTTTCTTGGAAAGTAACGCTTCTTTTAGAAATATGGTAACAGATCGCTTCGATGGTAATTCGTAAAAATAATACTCGAGATCGTGATTATGCACAGGAATAAAATGCCAATGGGACATGGGACGCTGTGTTCATATTAGTTTTGGTTTTGTTGCAGGACAATGCATTGAAAACGGCTACCTGACCACTTGTTACAAGAACTATTGATGACCTTTCAGAACAAAGTTTACTTTTATCATTGACTAATACCCTAGTCAATGCTTTTATGTCAATGCAGAGCTGCGTGAAGTCCCCCCCCCCCTTCCTCCAATATTCCAAAAATTGATTTTTATGACGTAATTGTAGGAACTTTTTCTGAGACAAATTAATAACTGTGGAACTTGAGGGGAGGGAACTGGAAAGACTGGAATATGAATATGATCAATAACTGCAAAAATTTCATTTGCAACCAGTGTAATTACACCTCAAAGATCTGCCGCGCCGTAGTGCAATATTCGCTCCCCACAATGTCAAGAAAGAGGTACGAAAAGGCGTACAAACCTTTTAATGACTGGCGCAAAACTAAAGGAATAATTACTTCCACATATATTCCATTTAATTGTTAGTTATTAAAAAACCATTATCGTTTGTGTAGGTATATTAATGTTTAAAAATATCCACATGGTCTGCATTATAATTATCCAACCGTTGATTGAATAACTTATTCAATGAACGATCCAATTGTTATTTGGCATGTACTAGGATTGTAATGGGAGTCAGGCAAAAATATTACAGTACTAATCAGGTAAAGATCAACTTTCTAATGTCAAAATAGCCCTGAAATTTAGCTTTTCTTGACGGTTTCAGGTAAAAGATATTACGTGTAGAGTGAGCGATAATTGCCACAAATGGTAAGAAAATTTTAAATCGTAATTTTTAAAGCATCATATTGAAAAATGTCTATTATTTGTTTTATGGCCAGTGTAATTATGTCACGAATAGTAAGGCTATTTTAAAGAATAATCGACGTAAGGGAATGTCACAAGTCGTTGTACGAGTGCGCTATAGAAATTGAATGATAAATTGTTATACTATTTGTAATTAGAAAATTAAGTGCGTATTCAAGCTAATTCAAGACAGCAGTTCTTAAGAAAAAAGCATTTTAAGTACGATAGGATTAAGGAGTTACATTTTCTCAAAAACGGCATGATAAACTCAATTCGCTTTAAAGCACAAGTTCAGTTAAAAACCTGCCAGAATAATCCTATTTTTACAAAACACTCGCCATTTGTAAATTACAGCAGCGCCTCTAGTGGCAGCCTGAATCGCGTATAACGTTTATGCAAAAGTGTTGCCATTGAACAATCCTCGAATTTTCCTAATTAGTACAAACATTATGAAGTAGGTATATAATTGATTATTACTCCGTTAAAATTGCCCTTTCCATATTTAAAGTGCTATTCAAAATTACTACATGAAAAGTTAGCTCACGGAGCATAATTTGATGCTTATTAAAACCATTTACAAAGTATTCACCTACATTATCATATTCTTCTATCACGGTTTCCAAATAGAGCCATAAATCGGTTGATCCCCTTTGAAAGGAAGCTTTTAGGGAATTAATTTTCGGACATCAATACCAGCAGAATTTCTTCTGAATAGGCTTATTGTATGAGTTATACAATTGAAAATTATATTGAATTTGTAACTCAATTAAAGCAGTGAGGGGTTGCGTTTGATTGTTAACAATTTTGTGCGGGCGTCGAGAAGATATCTACAGCTACACGCGTCTTATCTGGGATTGGCGAGGATTATTTTTTAACCCACTTTTAGCGAGCTTTGTTGGTTTATTGTGCATTTTATTTTTTCAGGAAATCGAGCACTGCTACTATCATGGAACCGTTCAAGATTATCCCGGTGCGACTGCGGCGTTTCACACGTGTAACGGTGTCAGCGGTGTCATTCACGTGGGCAACGAGACGTTTGTTATACACCCTTTTTACGGAGGCGATCTTTCGGTCAGTATTTATTTAAGCAACCCCTCGTTCGATTGGAGAATGTATTTTTCGCAACGCTGAAATTTGGTAAAATGTGCGGTACGTACAAATACGAGACAAACGGTTCAAAAACTGCAATTAATTTGAGAAAGCGGATGAGCGAACAATATACGAGTATTGCCGGTTGTCGCTTTATAACTTTACAACGGTATAAAGTTTTAGAGATCTTTTTTGCCGTTTCAGTTTGTAATTAATTAACAGCCTTTATACTGATATTACGGCGACAACACGAACAAAGGCAAAAAGTTATATTAATGTAAGCATTCGGTATGAATTATTAATTGTTAGGTGCTCGGATTTTTCTCAGCATCTTTCGTTTTAGTTATTATTTCGTATATCTTTTTATATGCCTTACAACCCTCGTACCCAGGGGCGGATTCAGAATGACATCTTAAAGAGGGCAAATGTTAATTCAGTAATGGTTAGGTATGTATACCAGCGGATGTGGGGGGTACGAGGTACTTCCCCCCACATAGAAGGGGTTTTTGAAAATATAACTACTAAATTTCTATTTGGCTCTCCCGTGGATCCGCCCCTGTTCGCACCTAAAAGCTGTGCTACCCGTATCGTCTATAAAAGAATCATACGCACTTCTCCTCAGCACCAAGTTCTAGTCGTACCTTGTTCTTGAACCAGGAAAAATATCTAATTTTTCTAAATAGGTTGCACCAACTTATAGCTGCTATTATATCCAAATTAAGCAAGAAATTAAGAAAACTACTGTTTTTTCTAGAAGTGGGCTATGAACATTTGGAAGTGCCAAGAGCCCAGAGAGGATGTTAATTTGCGGGAACGAACTTTATTCGGTTATACGCATTGCTCTACAAAGATTACAAAATCAGTAACCCATAAACTCCCCTACTTCAGCTACAGTAATAGCGTTTATGACTTTTTTAAACCAGAGCCGATCAAGATTTAATTACCTTATTGTAAATTGCTGTAGAACTTTAGAATTTCGAGATCCGCTCTAAAATCACTAAAGCATCCAAGGTTAAAGACCGATGCAACCTGTCCCTCACCACAAAAATCAGATCATTGACCTTGAATAACCTTGAAAATAAATTTGACACCCAAAAAATGTAGTCATCGACTTTGGATGCCATTGAAAATAGCATTTCATACCTCAAACAATGGGGTCATTTACACCGAGGTCATCACTTAGGAAAAGTGGACGGAGAGGGTCAAGTGGACTTGATCTATTTTCCAAGATCACCACCAGGTGGCGAGCGACCTTGCACTGCTCCAGGTTTACCCCTGTATATCTACTTACGAGCAAATCTATAAAATAAAAGTTTGTGGGATTCTTTTTACTTAGTGTCAAGAATTGAAATGTCACTTTCCCCACCACATAGCACTTTGGATGTAACAATCTCCCCTTGGAACTGAAGAATGACCCGGTCCCAGTTAAAGTGACGTTGGCTGTATTTTCCGAAGGCGACCCCGCTTCGTGACTGTGAAGCTTGCTCCGTTGACCCGTGGTACGGGGTGTACACGGAGGTGGGGTACGATCCGAGTAGTGCTCCAGAGGCTTCTGGGTTTTCTATTTCGTATATTGGCAAGAGAGCTTTTACTACGTTCCGCTCCATAATGTCCGGTGCTCGAGGCGTCGTGATATTTTTCGATGACGGGTTAATAAATCGATCGGGGTCGCACAACTGGCCGGCGTGTCGGTGGTGCATGGAGGTCTTGATAACGCACCCACGATTACGTGTTTTCCTGGGATATATTAATAGGTTATGTGATAGGCCTGAACATACCACTCGGTCTTGATAACGAACGAAGCGAGCTATTTTTGAGTGGGCGGGGTTTCAGCCAAGGCTGCTCTACCAACCCAACCAACATTTACAAATATCCATTCCCGAATCCGGATTCGAACCAGGGACTCTTAGTACTGCATGCGAGCTTCAACTCAACTGCGCCACACGGGTCGTCCGAATACGTGAATACCGTGATGTCGGTCAGCTGGTCTTTTACGCGATCTATGAGACGCTGGACGGTGGCTAGGACGTTAGGAAGGGGATATAAAGCCAGTTTTATCTCTGTCGGTAAAATCGACGGCGACTTGCGGTCCGTAGGTCGATAGTTCACATTATTGTGGCGTGGGCGACGTGGAGGAGGTGGTGGACGCCTGGCAGAAGGGTTGTGATAGCGTTTAACGTTCAGTTAGGATACAGATGCGGTTGGATCCGTGCGGCTTGGACCACGCCACCACAGGTGAAGCCCATGGGGATTCACACTCTTCTATGATGTCGTTTTTGAGCATGTGCGACAACTCGGCTTGGAGGATCTGATATTTCGCGTCGTTGAAACGGTACGGCGGCGATGCGATCCGCCAGTGATGCTCCCCCTGCATCCAAGATGTTACAGTTTCTCTGGAGGAGGACATTTACCTAGTCTTTCTCGTTCTTTCCGAAATAGGTGGCCTCGTCGGGGCCTCTACGACGTAAAGAGGAGGACAGTGAATCTGGACTTCTTCCTTGGCGAGTGGGGAAAAGTTTCTGGTGACGGGAGAGGTCTCAGCGGCCACTGGTAACGACGATTCTGTACAACTCGGGCGACTAGGGCAACTTGGACTTCTCCGGACCGTGTGAAGGTTTTTGTACACCTGTCGTCTTGGGTTGTTCGGGTGGCTGATCGCTGATCCTGGTTCCGGGCTGTATAATGCGAGTGCAAAACCGGAGAAGAAATGGGTGAGCGACTCCGGATGGAACAGATGTCGGCGCGTATCCCCCATTAATGACCAGTGTTCTTGCGGCAGGTTTAACAGCATTTTCGGGTCTTCGCCCACGCGACGGAGAGGGTTGTGTCTGTTAGATAGAAATCCTTTTATACGATACCGGTGTTTTCTCGGCAGTTTGGGCGTTGGTTGCATATCACTCCGGACGTTCCGCATCCGAAACATGCGAGGGTGGAGGTGGGCGTTCTGGTGGTGGATGGTACGATAAGTGGAGCTGGTGAAGGAACTTTTGCAGCTTGTCCGCTCGCTTCCTCTTTCGACATTGTTCCTGTGTATGTCCCACATGCTTACAGAAATCACATCGCGCCTTTTTGGTTGTACCTTGGGGTTGAGTTTCCGCTTTTGGGGATGGTGGTCTGGTGGATCGACTTTTTCCACTTACACTTCATCGACTCCATCTTAGGAAATTGGGAGCAATGCTTAGAGTCGTTCCGTAATTCTGCATATAATGATACTTGTTACACAGGTATGGATAATAATTCACAATCATTATTGACGCTGAAGGGTAAAAGTTTCATTATGTAAAATCTCTCTGAAATGTACACTACGTGAGAGAAAAGCAGAAACAAAAACAGACATCATTAACTCCTTCAATCTTTATGAAGATCCCTGGTCCATACGAGTCGTAACGGGGCACCCTCCTCAATTATCCCTCAGAATCGGTTCGAGTTAATCCGCAACCCACCTTCTTCATTATCATTTCCCAACATTGCGGATAAGGAAAACTAATTCATGTACAACCTACATTTATCTAACGAAAATTAGGAAAACACATTTCGAAATGTACTTCGATTAAACGCGTAGACGCTCGTCACGCTTATTTAATTGAAATCGCTTTAAGCTGTCAATACGTCAATAATTTTTATTTTCCAACGATTCGCCTGCGGCAGTTAATAACAATTAAGTCGAGGAAACAATTCTCGCAACGGCTTTAACGAACAATTTATATCTGCTAACTGTTCACACTTTTTAATAAATCGAAAAGTTTGACGCTGTTAGTTACGTTAACCTCTTTAGCAAACTTTTAGGAGCATAACATTTCCAAATTTATTAAATAACGCTTCCCCAATTTTCGTTAACTTTGCGAAAAGTTGCTGCAAATACAGACGTTCTTAAATTGGTACAAGCACGGAACGTGATTGAATTTTATTAGTCCAGTTCGCGTTTACAATATTTTCCGTTTTAAAATTTAAGCTAAACATCCCCGAGGGGGGCGACTTTTAACCCTTCGATTACTGAACACGTAGAGATGAATCGTGCAGATGGACGTATTTATCATTTAATGGCGCAATCTCCGGTCAGAAATGAAACAAGATGGGCACTTGTGATAGAAACTTCTTTCGAACTAAACGTTCTTTGCAATTAGTTAAAATCCCATTAAAATTACATTTTCCATATATCATAGCACTAAAGTATGGACAGTGTTGGAAAATAAGACTTAAACATGTAAACGGCAGCGTTTTATTAGGGTCGGATTGAAATACTTGTTGTAATTTAGTTTTCGACCACTTTTTAGAGGTTTATTTTTAATTCTTGACAATATTATACTTAAATTATGAATAAATGAACATCTTGGGCCGGCATCATAAACGCAGATCTGTTCTAAATGAACAATGATACCCTTAAAATACCTAATTCACGGCGTTTGAAATACAATAGTATAACAAAATTACCTTCTAATGCATAGAAGTCGTTTTGATTGGGGGTTCCCCTAGGTCAAATCTCGTATTAGTGGTAGATGAAGTTTACAGAATATGACAATGGTCCGGAATGTGTAGACAAATTTGCCATTCCGTGCTATACGAACACAGATTTCCTTAGGTCAAGGTTTGGTTGTATTGATACTGGATTAAAATTCTGTTGAGTTTGGAGTTCATCAACTTACGCGCGGTTTGGAATACGTAGTGCGCTTCTAAAGTACCTATTTTAGTTCGTGCAAATGTAGGTACCTTTTATTTTTTTATTTTTCTAAACACTTTGCCTAAAACGGCATTTCAATACAAACTGATTGCAAAAATTTACAACTTTCAGACAAAATCGTTTTAATTTTCCTGATCTAATAGTAAATCGAAATTAATTTATCTTCGCTAACATCTGCGATAGAAAACGGCACACAGCCTTCTTGAGAGGAGGGGGGCGGCGGATCTGTGGGTTTCCTCCCAGATCCGCCCGTTCCCAAGACGTATGGAAACCTTCCGTGCCTCTGCCTCCACAGCGTAATCCC